GAAATTTATATTATTACCCTCAAAATTTTGGTCTACTTGAACTTGTAATTCAGAGTATCTCATCACCCTTTGTTCTCCTGCACCCTTGAATAAAATGATTCTGCTTCCTTCAAATGACCAAAGTACCTTCAAGCTTTTCAATGAACCCAGAAGGATCTATCACATGTCCATGTTCCTGCAATAAGCTGATATTGCCCACTTTAAATCTCAGAACTAAAAGAAGCAGCATCAACCGTCAAAGGTCGACAGTAATACTAAACAAGTTGCTTTGAAAACTACATAACTAAAAAGATCAAGAACCATCTGAGGATAAACATCAGCAGCAATAAAACTCAAGATAGAAGAGCAGCAGTTGCATGCTGATGGTTGGGTGAGCACTCTAACCTAGCGTTGGAGGAGGAAGGCGGAAATATACACACTTCAGTGCAACTGCAAATAGAAACAGCTATCTGGTAGCAGACCAAGCTGTATCTGCACAAAATGTGTGTAGTTATACAGACAGCTGCACTTGTTTGTCCTGTTTGTGATTAAAGATGCATCTTTGTGAGTGTAGAGAGTGGAGAAACAGGGCTGCTGCATATGAATTAAACACTTAGAGAAATGTAACTTAACCAACAGAAGAAATGACACCATAGCGGGTTATTTCTGATTAGTTGGCGATATTGGCAGTATGGACAAAACATGCCATGCTTAATGACAAGAAGAGAAAAAAATCAAACATGAATCTTGATCTAATGACATCTATTGAAAACACTAAGTCATTGCACACTCATTTCTTGACTTTTGGCCAAGCAATTTCAGACAAGAATATGCTTCCACTTCTAGTACGAACCACATGCATCAGAGGATCAAACTGATTGAGCAGCTTCTAATGCAGCCAATTAAATAATCTTGAGGCCATGAAAAGAAGAGGAAGAGCAAAAGTAAGGTAAATGAGTATGCAGTGTTATAATGGATGATGGTGTAAAAAGAAAGTATACAGGGTCAATTATGGTAAAACACAGAGCTGTTGGAGGGGAATGCATCAGATTGGATCTAGAGTGAAGCAGGACTGAGATGAGGTGTCGAACCTTGACAGCTTTGCTGAGTTTTCCTTGAAGCATGGACTCGGTGGCTGACAGAGCCTCCATTGCACTCCAGTTTTTCTCCCGAAGCTCCTGTTTTACAAAGTCAGTTCCAGAAAGATACTACTTTCAGTTTAGCTTCAGGGAAAACGCATTTACTGGCCCCTAAAAACAACCTGGTCCAAAAGGATTTCCTTAAAACATCTTGCGTCATTTTTGCTTCCACATCTCCCCTTGTGCACTACTTCCTGTTTTTTTCCCCCACCCCTCAAAACCCCAGTAAGGGTGTTGAGGTTTGTTTTGGAAAGATGATAAAATGTAAAAAGGTTCAAGCAGTATGGAATATGCATTACCATGGAGTCCTAACTTAAATATATAAATATATACGTGGCTATCACTGATGATTTAATAAAATGAGAATCTAAAACTTTGATGCTTTTAATACAATCAGGCCTGCTGAAACTGGATCCAACAGCATGCACAAACCAAGGAAACTGGAAGCTCTCTTTGCAATGTTCAGATTGGTGTACCCAAATCAAGGCATGCAAGATATTGTGTCCATTTATGATGGATTCCCTACTTCTTATACAGAGCGTATTCCAGTTGCCAAAAAAAAGAAAAAAAAAGGAGAAGATTCTAGCAGAACAGAACAAAACATTTAAAATAGAACAGCTGAGAGTAAATGGTAGTGCAGAATAGGGACTATGGGTACATGTAAAGGGTCAAACATGTGGAGAGGGAGCAGTTTGTGCCAACATTCAAGAGACAGAGAAAAAAAAACATTTAGTTATTGCATTATGAAGGTACTGCTGCAGGAAACCTACGTTGTTCTTTTTTCTGTGAAGCTCCAATGAGTCCCGCAACTCTGTCAGCTCACTCTGCAGACTGCGCACCTGATTCTCCTTCTCAGACAACCTGATACAAACAATAACCAAGCATTATAAAGCCGTTAGAAACTATTTTCTGTGTGATATAGATCATTTAAACATAAAAGGTGCAGCTTTACTCACGCTGCAAGAAGCTCAGGGCTTGGCGCTGCAGAGCTGGATTGCTGAATAAAAGAAACCAAATTATCTTGTAATGTTTTGTTCTTAAAGAGCCAGCCCTCTATTGTTTATGAAAGCTTTCATCACCTGCTGTTGTATTTGCTCCACCTTCTCACTCAGGTCCTTCGTCTTCCCTTCTAGCTCAGCCTGAAGCACCTGAATTTCCTGGTCCTTTGCCGCCAACCTGAAGTTAAGAATTTCCCATAATGGTGAGAGTCAGAGAAAAAATTAAAAAGGGATGGTCAACATAAAGAGTGAGGTCAACCTACTGAGCCTGGAGGTCTTGAAGCTCGGTACCAGAAGTGGCCATCTCTTTCTGTGCCTGTGATTGGAGCCGTTTCAGCTCCTCCAACTCCAGTCGAACAGCAGACAGCTGCTGCTCTAGAGTCTATGAGGTAAAAAAAGATTCAAATGAGCTAAAAGAGGATCAGTAGTAGATAACAGATTGTCATCTTGCAATAAACCCTTAATTAGGTGGTAGGTAAAAGCCCATACCTTAACCATCTTGTCTTTGGTGGAGCTGCCGACTTGTGCTGCTTTGAAGCTCTCCTCCAACGTTTTCAGCTTCTCATCCCTTTCTTGGATCCTAAACATCACAGCTCTGGTCAAACAAACTTATATAGCTTATATATCATAGCATTTTAATTAAACTGAATGAAAGATAATTAGGGCTGCTCAGCGGAGTAGCGGTAGCACTGCTGCATTGCAGCAACAAGGTTCCGGGTTCGATTCGGTGATTTTCAGAGAAGGGACAAAACGAAGTAGACCACAGGTCTCTAAACAGTGAGAGAGAACTATTCACTACCTAATTATTGTGGATAAAATGTATTTTCCATTAGATCTAGACAATTATATTGTATGTTGAGAGCAAAGCAGCACCAAAGGCAAGTTACTTATTGCTTACTAGCAAAAAGTTGGCTGAGAAAGCAGATTCAGTGTTAATAGGACTGCTTTTGCAACTTTGATGCATAGTTAAAAAGGTTCAATCTTGAAGGCAACACATCAAGCTTCCACCAGATTAGCAGAAAGGAATGTGTGGCTTAACTGAGCTATTACGGGTCAGAAAAACAAGCAATGTGGAGAAAATTCAAGGTTTAAAACCAGGAATGTTGGAATTAGCGTCACTGTTCTTACTTGTGTTGGAGTTCTTCCACTTTTGACTCTGACGAAACCTGTTTTTAGAAAATACCATCATAACAATGTGAAAGGGAATAAAGTATGTTGGTTGTTTATCAAAATGATCCAAACCTTACCTGCTCTGCTTTGTTTTTTTTAAGGTCCTCGTTTTCTTTTCTTAGTGCCACATTCTCTTCTCTTACATTCTGCATTTTTGGGGGGGGAAGATAAAAGTCACTAAACTTGTACTTAAAATAGAAAAATGAAAATGTTCACTTATTAAAAAATTTATTTTTTGTTAAAGCAGACATTACCTTCAACTCAGCTTCCTTGTTGGCCACTTCAATCAGCCCCTTCTCCAACAGTCCCTCAACAGTTTTAATGTTGTCGTCCTTCTCTCGGACACTGGGGAGGCAGCAGGCTTTCACTATAGATTATTTGTTTTATAGACAAGGTAATCTGCATTTTAAAAATGCCTTTTCCACACACACCTCTTTTGGATCTGGTCCAAGGCCAGCTGGGAAGCCGTCTAATAAAAGAGAAAGTCAAAGCTAGTAAGTGTGGGTGTGTGAAAAAAAGGAAGAAAATACAGTTTATTGGTGAGGTTAAAGAACAGGGGAAAGTTAACCTGATCAGCAATCTGTGCCTGCAGATTCTGAATTTCAGTCTTCAGTGAGATGTTCTCATTGTGCAAAGCCTTTAAAAGAAAAAAAAGGAACATTTCTTAATACAAGCCTGAAACACGAATATCTTCATTTTTTTCCCCTTGGGATTGGATAGATCAAGACAAAGATATGCATTATAGCAAAGAGAGATGTTTTTCATATCAAATATTAATCTGAAATGTTTGACATGCATCAGTTATAAGCTTCACTAAAAGTATCAAAGCTAAGACATACTGGAAGTGTGAATTTTAGAATCTAGTGTAAATTCAGACTGAATGTGGTCATTTCTGCCAGCCCTGTGGGTAGTTCACCGCTCTGCATTTCAGATGCAGTGTTCACACCCCGGACAGCGTCAAATACCACAATAGCATAGCTTCAGATGCATGAAGCCGACACCCCACCCAGTTGAAAAACCTCAGCAAATAGGCTGAATAGTTAGTGCTTCATTATGCAGGCTTGTGCAGTTATAACTATTATTCTTAAAAAAAAAAAAAAAAAATATATATATAAAAGATTATGTTTGCTACTTTTGTTTCAGAAGTATTAATGATCATTTTTATGTCATTCTGAGGTCAACTATCTCCCTCATTAAGCTCCAAATTGAATCTAAATTCTCTACGTTTCCACTGCTACTTCATTTGTGCAGGTAAAACTGTTGTTTCCTCAGATTTAGTTTTTAAGATAGAATAACTTTTAATTTTGACCGATAACATCGCCTTCCATTAGATGTTACTGCCGCGCAGGAAATTTTTAATTGTTACTACTGTACCTAACTTGAGTTAGTGTGACGAGGATGCAGCAAACCAGCAGAACTTATTATTTGGATGCACACTTTTCCTCAACCATTAGGGAGCCAGTACTGATGAAGAATTGCTATTTAAAGGCTGAATGGTCCACTCGCCCTGTCCACTACAGGCCCTACATGCTAACAAAGGGTTAGTATTTAGGGGCCTTTCTAGGGCCCTAAAGGAATCTTTCTAGGGCTCTTTTAAAACCCACCTAAAATCCTTTTTAGAACATTCCTTATTTCCTTTGTCAACATTATTTCAAGTCATTTTAACTGAAAAATGCTTGGTCTTGGATGCAGTTCTTTTACCTACATTACAACCAGTCCCCGATTGGTTGCCTTTGCTGTTTGAAAAGACCTCAGTTCTATCTAGAAGTACCAGGTGAGAGCAGGGCAGTGATCACCATCACTGCGTGGGATTCACTGCCGGCTGCTTCACCGCTGGCTCCTCCACCTTTTCCCATGCAGTACATAGAGAACACTATGTAGATCTGCTGCCCTGACCGCATCTGGTCTGAATGCACCTTCAGAATATAGCTTTGTCTCAGCAGGTTTGCAGCTTGGCTAAACCCTGCAAGAGATTTAAAAGGCTGAGGATTTTTTTTTTCTTTTAATATGAAACCTTCTTCATGCTTCTCCAGATGTTTATTCCTGATCTGTCTGGTATGTTCTCCGACAGACCTCTAAAGCCCTTAAAGATCAGTCATTTATACAGAGATTAAATGACACTAATTAACTCCAATAACCTCCAAGTTCATTTTCTGAACAGCTGGTTGCACACAGGAATCAGATAACAGGGGTCTGAACAGAAATTGTTGTCAAATTCTTATTTGTAAAAATATTGATAACCTGTCAGTTAGAAACTAAGGCCTAGTTTAGAGTCAGTCTTTTACATGAAAGGAAAAAAAACCTCAGTAGGAAATCATATTCGTGCAAGGTGCTGTGTGTGAAACAACTCAATATGTTTCCAACATGGAAGAGGAAGTTTGCTTACAGACATGTTGGTACAGGAACACAAAGCTGCGGGTCTCTCTAAAACACACCTGCATGTTAGTTTCTCTACCAGCCCCACTGCTCCTCTCAGCATTTAGAGCATCCTCCAAACTCTTCCTCTGCAGCTCCTTTTCAGCCAGACTAAGGAGAGAAAAAAAAAAACAATCACATATCAAAGATCAGCTTCAGAAACAACACATTTCATATAATGTCAGGATGAAAGACTTGCTTACAGCTTCTGGAGCTCCTCAATGTGGGACACATGGGTGGCCTAAATATTGAACAGAGAAATCTCATTAACCTACTTGCACTGAGATTAAGTATGTAGTGTTGGATGTGATGTTGGTTTTAAAAAGATATAAAAGGTGGGGAAAGCAGACCCATACCTGTGAGGAGATCTGAGCTTGGAGGCTCTCATTCTGGGCTTTTTGAGTCTCGTTTTGAACCTGAAGAGCTTTTTTCTCATTCATAAGTTCCTGAGGAAGCAAATTTTAACAATGATTTCCTGCTTGTTTTATTTTCATTCTTGTTTATAGGTGGTCCAACGCTTACCTGAACCTGGGCCTGCAGAGTTTCATCCGGCATACTGCGCTGGGACATCTCCATGAGCTCCATCACTCTCCGCTCCAGCTGCTCTTTGGAGACCATGGCTTCAGTAAGACTGCTGTGTAGAGTCTGCATTTCCTTGTTTTTGTTGTTCATCTCCGTCTCAATGGCTAGAAATTGGCTGTGGAGCTCTATTAAAAGATAAAGACACAAAGCTATTTCTACTCGATAGGAGTGAGAAATTCTTATTATTGCTTTCTGTGCAGCTGGGTGTTTAGTGACCTTGGTTAGAAGACTGAAGCTTCTCTCTCTCAGTATTGACATTATGGAGGAAGTTTTGCAACTCCTCCCAGCGTCGCTTTGCATCCTGTAATTGGGCCTGTTGATGAAGAGCAATCAAGCAACAGATTAATATCAATTAATTCCTGAACATAGCAGAGCTCAGCATCCATATTTTTGTTAATGTTAATTATAGTGCTGGTCATACAGTAATTTAACACTAATCAGCATCAATGCAATAAAATTGTTTTGGGGTGGGGGCATGTCAAATATTCAAAACAATATTTTACAATTGATCTGTTGCAAAACACAAAGTACTAAATATATATTCAGCTGCAAAGCTTCTGAAGGACACATTCCAGTTCTTATAAAAAGGTAAATCTATTTAACAAAAGTGAAGAGAAAAAAAGATCTGAGTCTACTTTAAAGAAGCAATGACTTATAATGACACGTAGGCCTTGTTCAGACGAAGCTGGGTTTGAGGATAAGGTTGAGGCCGCCTGCTGCAGCGTCTCTGTCATGACAACTCCATAGCAAAACCGGTGTGTTTGAATATTCGAACCAACATGGCCCTCACTACCCTCAACATGAATACGATGAAACAAACATAATCAGTGGATTTCATCGTGGTTTTAGAAACGATTTAAAGTATTTAAGGAAATTACTCGTCCTACTTGTTGCTCCGTCCTCGATCAACATTGTCACCTTTTTTTTCCTCCTTTATGTCATACTTTGTCCTTTTTACCTTTGTGGCGGGACCTGCGCCTAATCCAGTTTTGCTGTTCAGACAACTTACTCTACTTCATGTGGAAGTAGCCCTAGTGCTTCAAACCCGAACAACACAGACTGTTCTGACTAAACCACTTATCCAAAAGGTCAAGTCTAAAATTGCTAAATGTGGAGCAAAGGCTTTTTTCTTTGCTGGATCTTCTGAGTCCGTGTTGATGTTTAATCTCCTTCACTGCGGAAAGTTTTCTGAAATCTCTCAGTTAATGAAAAGCTAATGATAAGCCTTAGTAGCTGAAACATTTTAAAACCTTTATATTCCTTTCCAAAGAATCTAACATTAAGCTTCTGAAATGAAGCAGGCCTCAGGCCCATTCAGAATGTGTGCACCTTGTTTAAAAGGAGTCAAGTTAAGCAGGTTTCACTGTGCCTGGTAGATCTAAGTAGAACCATCCCATCACCTTGTGCATGGTAACAAAAAGCAAACAATGAGGATATTAAGGTATAAGAATGAAACCAAATGCTTGTGCACCTCTTGAGATTTTTGTCTGTATGAAGCCAAGAGGAAGGGCTGAGCCGAGTATTTTACAGGAAAAGTCATGTTTACACTCAGCTTCAAACATTCCAGCTTCCTAAGAAAGCAAACCCACCCTTCTCAGGTTTTGTTTCCCTAACCAGCTCTTGGGCTTTTTTTACTACAGCCCAAACCCCTACCATTTCCCTCCCACTGCTGCCACACCCACTGGACAGATCTCAAGCTATGCAGCACTGAGGTTTTTGTACTACAAAGTTCATTTTTTCCCTCTTCTGTGGACCCTGAAGCACAAAGTAAATACACACATCTGACTTAGCATACCTCCAGCTGAGACACGTTCTGCTTGTAGTTGACCTCCAGTGACTTCCTTTGGTGCTCCTCCTGCTGTAGCTTGCTGTTGGTATCTCCCAGCTCTTTCATCAGACCGGCATACTCTGAGCGCAGCTTGTTCAGCTCTGCCGAATTCCTGTCAAGAAGTTGATATGAAAATGGCTCATGGCGCAAAACTTTGGGACGCTGCCTAAGAAGCCAATTAACAATGATCAACACACGATGTGTTTCAGTGTGCAAAGTAAGAAAGGTGTGGATAGATAAGACAACTAAAAGTGCTTTCCAACAAGCATAAAATGACAAGGGAAGCTACCTCAAATTAAAAAGTTTCAATTAAAATATCGAGGAAAAAAAGAGAAATGCAAATGAAAAAGAAGGTAATTTATTATATACACATGTTTACTCTTGTGAGGGTCAATAAAATGTATTTAAACCTATAGATCCTATGCTACTAGACTATTGTACCATCACTGTGGTCTGCCATCTAATGAAGGAAGAGAAAACATGACTTGGTCAGGTTTCCTTCTGGCTGTTAGTGGTTATTATTTTTCCTACAGATATAATACAACAACAAAAAAAAATACAATATTCAGGATTTTCAGTTTCAAATTCAATTTCAATCAGCTAAATGTACTGAGTGAAGTCAGCCCTAAGTTCAAGGTGAGTATATAAGAAGCCTTTAACAATAGAACACAGAAAACATGATCCACCATGGCAACAGGAAGAAATAAGAAGCCTTAAAGTGTCCAATTTTCACCAGTGGCATTTAAAATATTAATGACGCCATATAGAGATTACACACAAAACAAAATGTGGCAGAGACCAGTCAATGCATAAGTGGGCTTTGACTGGTGTAAGAGTTTTATTCTCATCAATTGGTACTTTTGTTTCCCTTATTCGACAAGTCATATTAATATGTACAAAGTTAATCCTTGGTTCATGAATTAATATGAAGAAGAGCAGACTTGCAGCTAAAGTGTATTTTTCTATTCTGTCCCTCCCTGTGAAATGGCTGTATGAGACAGAGACCATGGAAACTATAAATCAGAAAATAAATCAGCAGTAAATGTTAATCCTATATACACTTCCAATTATGCATGGAACCCAAAAAATATATAAATAAATATGCGAAATATGAGGCTGAAATAACTAAATGATTGCCTTTGCTGATAGCTGCAGTTCTGTGGATTAGGTTTGCTTTTATAGATCTGTTGAATTATTTTAAGATCACATAAAAAGGATTCCAATCCAAACAGCTTTGAGAAGACTCACTCCAATGAAAAAAAATGGGAATATTACTTAAATCATGACACGGAATGATTTGGAGGATTTGACCCAGTAGTGTGAGACTGACTTGCTCTCCATCTGAGTGGTGGCTGAGCTGACTGCGTCCCTCAGGATCCCGTTCTCCTGCTGCAGTCGAGTGATCTGGCTCTCCATCTGCTCCCTCATCTGCTGAAACTACAAACAAACGATGCATTTTTTAACATTTCCTATGAAAGAAGACTATTTCATTTAGTTATCCAACACTTAGGAATCTTGGTTTTTACCTTTATTTGCATGTTCTGCAACTCCTGGTAGCTGCCCTGTGCTTTGGCTTGCATGCCTCCCAGCTCCTTCTCCATGGCTGCCCGCTGCTCTCTCATCATGGCCTCCACTCTGCCAGTTTTCTGCTTCTCGTGTTGAAGCTCCTAAAGTACAGAAAAAAATAAAAATAAAATCAGCAATAAAGCCGAATAAAAGCATCCACATTTTTATAATCCTGGATGATGAATAAAAGCACACTGAATTTCTAGACCTGGCTGAGCTGCTTCACTTTGTCTTTGGCGATGGAGGATTCCTCCTGCAGGGTAACGAGAAGTTTCTCCCGTTCTTGGGCAGCTGGGTCAGGCCTCGCTGTGGACTGAAATTCAATGAGATGGAGAAGTGAAAAGCAGTTAAAGGAAGTTCAACAAGTACTTTAAAGGTTTCCTGCTAGAGACAAACTCTAAGACGTCATGTTGCCCTAACTGTAGTTGGTGACCTGTTAACGCCTTACTTTGTGCCAGGCATCCAGGGCATTGGGGCTCTTTTCTCGGAGGAGAGAAATCACACTGACAGCTTCAACTTCTGACAAAGCCAGGCTGGACAGGGCAGACAGCAGCTCCTTCAGTTTCACTTCTGCATTCCCTGGTAATTCACAAAAAGATGGTGATGAGGTTTATTGGTACAATAAACAGCCAATAAATTTTCTACAGATAACAGGGCGTCCCTCAGACTTAAAACCCATCCACACCTACAGACAGACCATAAACAATGTAGAGTGAAACCAACCGCCACTTACTGTAGAAAAATCCTACTGGACCTTAAGATATTTAAAATGTGTGTCTATTTGCTAAGAATCTGGGACAGTGGCTTTCAAATGAAATGACAAACTTTTGTTTCATATGAAAAGAGGAGTACACGACTGAGCATCAATGTAGTCACTTCTCCCCTTGGTGCAGGAAATAGGTTTTTGCAGCTCCTCTCCTGGATGAGATCATACTAGGTGGAGCTCCCACAACTTCTTAATAGGATTTTGCATCACAACCCTCTCAGTATAGCAGCTGTTCCTGCATGCGCACTATTCTGTACCAAACCTTTTCATTCCACTTAACCCTCTATTCATATTTAATATTTCAGCCCTTTTCCCCCTTCTTCTTTGAGAGTTCATTCCAGCTTATGCAGCTGATGCAGTAACTCTGGTCAGTCAGTGTTTCCATATTGTTTCCATGTTTCCCCAGGGGTGTTTGCCACTCGCTCCTTCTCTAAAATACGCGCCCATTCCAATTTTGTCACTAGCTGCACCAGCTCCATATTTATCTAAAGCAAAGTGGACCGTTCAGGCTGGATATCAGTTGATTAAGAGCAAAGTGGAGATGATGTTTATTGCATTTTCTGGACAATTTCTGTTCATATATTTAATTACCAGCATAATAATAAACATAAGCATTGAATTAAAGAAATGGCTGAAACTAAAGATTTAAACTCGCTCATAACAGATCAAAAGAAAACAATGTGATTAGGTAACGAGCAGGCACTCAAGATGCTGATAATACTGGCCAAATAACCACCATATTCATTTATTGTTCCATTTAAGGCCTACAAGTACACTGCTATAGCGCAATGACACAATCCTGGCCTGATCCAAGTCCAACCAGGGAAGATCGCTCCCTTCTCCCGGTGAAATAAGCTGCCTGGCAGCGGGCGTGGCACAGCGGCGCTTCTTCCAAATACAGTGGACCCTGGTGTTATCATCATCAGGCGTTAATGATAAACTGAAGATCACAATTCTACCCTATTGTATCGTTTATAACTTAGCATTAACATAATAGTTACGTATTACATAATCATATGTTATTTTCCCTTTTTCTGAGGAAATTTATCCTGTTTCAAATACGAGCTATAATCCAAAATGATGAAAGGTAACAGGGAAAAAAAACAAAACACCTGAAATACAACATTATGTGAACGACACATATGGTTTGTTTGTTTCACCCGAGTTAATGAAATCAAAATAATCGTTAGCCGTATCCGTTAAAAGAAAACAAAAACAATTTTTACCTTTATCGGCCTCATTCTTTTGTTTCTTGCCAGAAGTTTTAGAGGGTACATCATCATTGTGGGTCTCTTGGTGGTTGGTGGAAGCTGTTATATCGGCCAAAATATGGGTGTCTTCCACTGCAGGTTTAAGGCAAAAATGATCTTTTAGAAAAGCGTGCCTCCTGTTAACCATTGAGCTTTAAAGAACTCAAACTGCCACTCATTTGATCATGTTTACCATGCTCTGTCTTCTGCTTTTTGGCAGAGTTTTTCTTTTTTCCAGTTGCAGCACTTGGGTTGACACCATCCAGAACTTTGGGTTCAGCCACAGCAGGAGCATCCTTTTTGCTTGGGACAGGAGCTTGTTCGGCTTTCACCTCAAGCTGCTGTATGTCTGCTAAAAAGGAAAAGATGGAGGGAGAGGAAATATAAAGCTTTAAATGCTCTCTGTAGGGGTGAAAATCCCTCTTATCTACTGACCTGATTCCACTTTCTGCTTCTTCCTGTCTCTCTTCTTCCCAGAGGTTTGTGGAGGAGTCTGAGTTTGAATGGGAGCCTGGACAGCTTGGACCTGAACCTGCATCTCCATTTGTAAAGAGGTTGGGCTCACTTGTTTGCTAGCAAGTGGAGACGGTTCTCTCTTGTTGTTGACTGGCTTTGAGTCATTTATTTCTGACTCCTCTAAGTGGGAGGCTGCCGCCAGAGCAGCAGCAGCAGCAGCAGCGGCAGCAGCAGCTTTGGCAGCCTTTTTCTCCTTTTTCTTCCGTTCCCTTAAACCAGAAGGAGCCTCTGAAGAGGCTGAGATTTCAGCAGAAGGTGCAGGTGGCGATGGGTCCAGGGTAACCAATGGTTCAGGTTCCTCCTCTGCCTCCACATTGGGGCTGAGACCATCAGACATGTCAAAATCCCGCAGGTCCTCTTCAGATTCTCCTCCTCCACCACCACCACCACTTCCCCCACCAGAAACTTCCTTCCTCTTGCTTTTCTTCTTTTCGTTCTTCTTACGAGAGTCTGGCTTGGCCGATGGCAGCTTGAGGTCTCGTTTCTGCCGGGCGAGGACTTCATCATAAGAGGTTTCCTTCATGAAGAGCCAGAAGAAAAGGAACATGAGGGCGATGACCAGGGAGGGGGCCAGGATGAGAAGGTACTGAGAGTCGTAGATATCAAGCGCCATTCTAAAGGAAAGGAAGAAAACCATTACTGAGCCTTTAGACGTTATAGCACAAGATGGACCTAATGATTTCATCTCACCCTAAAAAGAAAATCCTACGGGTCCTAAAGTGATGATTTCAATTATGACAGACATTTCCCTGCAGTCTGCATGGGTATCTTTGGCTACAAAACTTTGAAAATCTTTGTAACCAAATGTGATTAAAACAACTTCAGAAAAATTTGTATATTACAGACATACTGATGTGATGTCCCCCGTTAAGCTGCAGAGAAACGATTAACTTTTCATAACCAGTAAGGATGTTTTAGTATTTGGCTTATTTCCCACTTCAATCAGAGATGGTGCAGTTCCATTAACCCAGTTGGGTTCACAATTTAGGACAGTCCTGTTTGGAAATCTGTGTTCAAGAATCCCCCATGTCATGTTTGAGTCAGGGTTAAATTCAAAAGAGAAATCAAAACCCTGGTCTCTGCCAAATGTAATCAACTTCCTTTTCCCTGTGAAATATCCAGGCAGAATTATGCCACAAATCGTCTTTGGTAAAAGAACAATTTTCTACGGAACACCCAAACTAAGAGGAATAGAAGCGATTGTATATAGTAGAGCAAAACCTGCACTAAATTGAACCTGCACCAAATTCTTTAAACTTTTTTTATTTTTGCACATTCATCCTAAAGAAATTTCAAATGAATATACATAAAATGCAAAAAAAGTTCATAACAAAGAGTGTTGACACATCAGCACTGTATGCATTTAGTATGCTTTTTGTTTTTGGATCACTAGTCTTTTTCTAAATAAATATGGACGTCTCCATGTGTGGTGGGTGTCGAACTGACCTTACCCTATCCTATCTTACTTAGTGATATGATCCAATTAGAGCACACTGCCCCTGCCAGACAGCTCAACATCCTCTTTACAATACATTAAGTTCATTGAGGGAACCAGAAATGTTAGCCATGTTCTGAATATCTTTTTGGGAACATGAACAAAATGGGTTAATAACACAGAAATGGGGAGAAAGACTAAAAGGAAGACGTCTTACTTTCCCATTTAGCCACTTCACCTCCATTCACACCCTCTAAAGACAAGCCCCCGGTGTTCTAAACTTACATTAGATTGGATTTGAGAGGAGCAAAAATATACCCACATGCAAGCGTCAGAGGCTGAGCTTTGCTCCAGCTGTAAACTTGGCGCTTTGGTCCTTAAAGCCAGAGGAGAGGACATCCATCTGACACTGCATATTATGCATGTCTGGGGACATAATGCCCTCAAACATCATTTTTAGATAAGTGTTGTATAATTGAGTTATTTTTTGGATTACAATTTTGAGAAAAATTTAGCTGTGAATTGGCTAATCAAAGAAAGGCTGAAACGTTGATACAGATCAATGTAAAAAAAGGAAATTCTATTTGTTATATTTTAGATTATAAAGAAGGGATTATTGTTTGGAAGCTTAAAAATTCTCCCATCTTAGATTGTAATTTTACCTGCTTATAAAGAGGTAGAAAAGGACCGTTTTTCATATCAATGAAAAAAACTAGGGATATAAGAGGTACCTACAAATGTTTGGATATTTCACTTATACTTGTTTACATTACAAATTTTCCTGTTTTAATGATGTCAGATGTGTATTTTAGGGAAGACAAGCATCTACAAAAGAATCCACACATACACCAACATGAAATTAAGGCCTCATATTTAGAGAATGGGCACCAGTTGTTTTAGCACTGTGCTTTCAACAGCGCAGATACCGATGAGAATTGAGCTGAAATTCTGACAATCCAGCCAAGAACTGTGTCTGATAATCAGTATAGGAGTCAGTGTCGTAGAGCAGGCCTTTAGTAATTTGGATTAAGAAGATTACCCATGATAATAGATTTAAGAATAACTTCCCACTGCAGGGCTTCCTGAGCACAGACAGGCTTAGTCTCACAGTGCAGCAGCAATTGTGTTTCAATCCTCAACTAGGGCTTTTATTTGTTCGCTACCAATTTTCCTTAAGGTCCGACCTTTCGATTCTGATTTGAAGCAACTAAAAAAAGATTATCATCCAAGCACATACAACTGTTATCAGAATGCCATCTATAAAAAAGGTGCACTGAAATTCTGGATTCATTGCATTAAGATGAATTTGATAAAAGCAGAAAAAAAAGAGAACAATTCTGATTTTTAAGTATGACAATCAGTGATTTATTATACCTGTTCATTAAATATTTATACGGTTCTGATCTCTGGCTGACCTATAATTTCACCAAACTTTGATTCAGGAGTGCATTGCATTCTGGGGGATGTAGGCAGAGAAAAGGTCTCTCGGTCTATCATGGCCAAGCTACGCAAGGTTGTACAGCTCACCTCCTTTTAAAGGTTATGTTTAAATAAGGTTAGGATTAAATAACATTTTTTTTTCCCCATCTGTTATTAATATCGGATATCAGCCCGCTGTTCGCCATAAAATAAAATTGGATTTTATTGGCCTGCATCTAAAATCTCCGACGTTTTCATGTTGTTAGAAACACTAATTCTGTTCAAAGTTTCTGCAACTCATTGGTTGATTTTACATGAGTTAGTTGTTTTCTCATCTTTAGTTGTTCAATTTTGTTCTATGTTTTAGAAATATTCTTGATAAAGACTTATATTTTGAAGCATTTTACAGAACAAATTAAGTGATAGAAGCTGGTATATTTCATGCTAACATTGTATCGGGTCAATATCGGTATCGGCCAATTCTCAAAGCTGAAATATCAATATCGGAAATGAAAAAGTTGTTCAAGACACCCATGACTTTTTATTGATTTCAATATTAAAGGCCTTTAAAAAAAAAAGTCTTTTTAAGGCATATTGCAAGCTGTAAATAAAACTAGATAATCAAACTCCAACAAAAGAAGGAATCTGTCTTAATATTTGTTATAACAACACTTAATGCTTTAAAATCTTTAAAACTGTACTTCCTGTAATGTAAATTCCTCAAAGCTCTCAGTAAGTCTTGAAGCAACATTTATTCTTGGCACACAGAGAATGGGTGGAGGAAGTGCTGTTAAGGTTTCAGGCCTGTTCTCTTTCGTTTTTCTCATCTCACTTCTTCTCATTCCTGGGAATTAGAATGGAGGTTTCACGTGTTCCCTTATGGAGCTCGAGCCTTGTTCCAGCATCAAAATGAGCCTCGAGGACAAAGCCCTCTTGGGCTGTTGGCTCCCTGGAATCTACCCACTTGGCTGGCCAGGCCTGCTGATTTGGCAGGCAAGGAGAGTGAGGCAAGCCCTGATAACTATCATGCCTCAAGCCCAAAACAAGACTGAACAACAATCTTAAGATAATGTTTCTAAGTTGACAGCAAGCTGATTAAAATAAAAAAAAGGTTGACTGAAAAAAAAATGTTTTGATTAACCTAAGAGTATGAATTAAAAGTAATTCCAAAGGAATTGAAAGGAATCTGCTTTTGCAGATGATCACCATCAGAACAGATGCAACGAGGTCTCTAAATTACTCCGATAAATTAAAAAGGCATTTATATCTTTGCAAGAATAATGATTATAATATTAAACACTACAAACAAACCAATATGACTGTAATAACCCTTTATAGGCCAAGTTACCATTTTTGATCAATTGCATTTGACCAATAAGATCAGTGCTTGAATAATATATTACCCACTGTAAATTAAGTTGAAAGAAACAAGTCAAGAAAATTGGGGTAAAAAAGCGCCTATGCTATTTTGTTTTTAAACATATTTGGGCAAGTTGGTGTTTCTTGTTATTACATTGAAATTAATTTCTGCCATCAAAATATCCATATTTTTTTAATGTTACAAAGGTAATAAGGCCTTGTCCCAGATTCCAATAACGCTATTGGCTTGAAATTTTGATTTTCAAAGTATTTTACTCAGTGCCCTCTAAAGGGATAACCGTTTTTTTGTGCTTCTTTGTTTTAAATACAGGCAATCACATATTATACAATAATGTCCTTAAGTTTAATGCAAATACTTTTTATACTTTAATGTTTTCCCATTGGATGAAAGAAACAAAGTGTACACATGAAAATGTCTCTCCATAAATCAGTATCTGAGTGTTTCAGAGAACCTTTGCAAATCAGTACAAGTGCTTTCATTTTTTTGCTCATCCAAATCAGGCTGTAAATCAATGCAGTCCTTGAGATATACGCAATCAGTAGATAGGCCTGAGATAGAGAGACAATAAGACAAACATCCTCAGTCAGGATGGAGGGGACATCCAGTTTTAGTGCTGGAAGTGATTCTAAACCTGTCACCAAATAGATCCTGAAAGAGATTTATTAGAAGAGTCCAAAGTCCTACAAGCATCAAAAGTGGTTCAACTGGTCTAAATGTCAATGGGACACCCAGTGTGAACATTTACAGATATTCTGGGTTTGGCAGCACAGGTGCCACTCAGTGTAAATGCCAGGAATAGTTTACAGTAGCTCAACTTGTATTTGACACAGGGTGGTATCCTTTACGCCACCTCAGCACTCACAGGTGGAGCCTGCTTGGTCATGCTGAACATAACCCGCAGGGCGAGTAATGGCAGCTGGCTGCAGGCCACGTCAAAAGCCGCCCCCCCATCCTGAAATGAACCAACTATAAAAGGGGCTTCCTGAAGCCTGACAGAAATTAGTCATCAGAAGCAGCATGCTCTCAACCTCACCTCTCCAAAATGTCTTAATAGAGCCTCTCCTTTGATCTGGACGTGATGTTATAATGAGTGACCTCACTTTCTATATTCACTTTAAGTTCAGAGAGATCCCAGCTCTGCAGTGTGGTTGAGCTAGCTTACAGAGCTAACCAACGGCTGACTGCAATCAATGCTAGCCGGTCAGTCACGTTAAATACACCGGAAATACCTCACATTTTAAACGAGCTGACCGAGCCAGGCATTAAGACATAAGAGAGGGGCGCTTGTTCCTCCCCAAAGGAGTCGACCTGCGCCCTGACGGGCCTCGTTTGCTCGTAGTATCCCAGCCTCCTTCTCTAGAAATCTCTGACCCGGCCGGTGCTCAATGCCCCCGCTCTTCCGCTGCGGCCCGTTCCCAGGCCTGCGTGATAAGCTAAAGAGCAGCTCTGACCGGGACAAGTAGCTTCCCTCACACAAAAATATCCCCCCCAACATCCAATGAAACAGCAGCCTTCTGAATACCTGTGGCTTCGGTTGGCAGTTCCCCTAAGCTGGTGGTGAAATGGCGTAGTTCTGCGTTGACTCTGACAGACTCCCGACTTCCCAGGGCAGCAGCTCCAGCCTGGCTTTCTCCTGCGCTCTCCACTCCGTCACACTCTGCTCTGCTGTTTCTGGTCTGCGGGGGCGGGTCATAAGCAGCCTGACAGGGGAGCACTCGATTTATGTACCGACGTACACCGAGAGCACCTCCTAATACAGATGCTTTCCATCGACTTAACCTGTTAGTTAATAACATTCACAAATTAAACGCAGATATAATATAAAAATATTAAAAAAAAAATGATCATGTTAAGATCAACACATGCTTAATAAAGAGAGTAAGCAATATAAGAAGCTACTAGTTTCTACAGTGCTACATACAAGAATGTTTGCTAGAAAGTTTAGTGGAAGGATAATCACCCTTATGAGGGTTGTGATTTAAAGTCTATTCAGAAGTGTGGAGTAGATTGAGGAGTTGAAGAGTGATGGAGTCAATAATTAAAGACTCTCCAAACTCCCTTACACAGGGAATCAGATCACACAAGCATCTCCTAAACTAGACAGTCTTAGAAATATTTTTTTAATAAAAGAGAAAAGAATGAACAAGCCTTTGGAGGATAAAAGTATTTTTAGGGGATAAAAGAACTTTTAGAAGAAAAACTTTTGTTTTATTTAATTATTTTGGAGGGTTCAGTGTTGTTACGTTAATGTCCCTCAAATAATTTTTGTAAGCTATAAACCCAGAAGCATCAAATAAAAAATGAGAATAAATGAGGTAAATAAATTACTGTGCTTTTCAGATCTACTGTATTTTATTTGATTTCAGCCTTTGGGCTGAAATGAATTACTTTCTTAGAGTTACGATTTATTTTGTCATATTGTATACACATTTCATTTTTTAAAGTTCAGCCTTGATTATTAAGCAGCAGTTGTTGTTGAGCTGCTACAACTGCCTCCAGCTCCTGAAGCACTCGCTTCTCCTGGCTCAGGGGAGGAAGATGATGACGATGCTGTGAGGGTGGTAGCCGCCTGGGTTGAAGAGGCCGACGTGGTTGAAGCAGCAGTGGTGCCATCGGCAGGTTTAGCAGCGACAGAGGATGCTGGAGAAGATGTGGAAGCTGGAGAGGGCCGGGAGGAGCCGGCTGGGGATGATTCAGCATTTGGCAGGGGATCATCTTTCGTGTATTTGAATTAAAATACATTTTGAGATCTATTACACAGAAACTAACCGGCATTTTTGTATGATTTTAAAATATTGTAAATGTAAATGAGCCAAATGCTTTTTGAACAATTGCTAGTTCACTTACCAACATAGTTTGAATATAAAAACCGGGTAAAGTTAAACTTAACTCTGTCATTTACTTTAACTGCTGAGTGCCAAGATATGATTCTTTTGTGCAGATAGATTTTCCATTGTTGTTTTTTGCTTTCTTGTTTCATATTCTGCTGAAATTTAAATAATATATATTAATTAAAAATGTATGTATTTCTTTTGTCATTTTGTCAGGCAATGTTTACAATTGTAAATGGTAAATGGCTTGTACTTGCATAGCACTTTTTTTAAGTCAGGAAACTTGACCAAAGCACTTTGTCTTTGAGAAGAGTTCATAGTTCTCACCTTACGACCTGTGTAATCAACACATATTTTATGGATAAACCTTGTGTGACCGTTTATTTTCATCATGAGAAAGAATCTGTTCATTAAATATCTCTTTTACAACAATTTAACAGAAATACACAATAAGACAAACTATTATAGTAATAAAGGTGTGTTTTCCTTTCTAAACAGGATAACCTATCAAATAAATAATCAATATATCTATCTGTTCTTTACAACTGCATGTATTTGAGTGGAAAGTTTGCAGCTCCATCAAAGCACAACAGAGTTACATAAACAACCAAGAGACACATATAACCTAAGGGAAATGTATAATTACCAACTAACAATCAATGGAGAAATGTATTTCTTGTATTCGTCTCCCTTTTTGAAGGACAGAGTCCTTCATTCCTTCCAGTCACATACTGACTAATTCCCGGAGTCTGTGGGTCTTGCTGGGCTTGCAGCCTGCAGCTCCGCCTCATACTGCCTCTTCAGTCCTTTCAGATACATGCGCAGGCTCTCTGGGTCAAGTCTTGAATTTCTGGCAGTCTGCAATAGGCGAGTGGCCAGGCGGTACACTGCTCTCTGTCTCTGTGTTTCTGGATCAGTGGGATATTTGGCCTGGAAATGACAAATAGAAGCCAACCAAAGGTTTAACGTTAGACTCTATAGTTTCATGTTGTGTTGCACTTTTAAAAGCAAGAATGCGTCGTCTTTAGAGTATAAAACAGAAAGCTTTTGCAGCATACTGATGTAGGGATGCTTTCCTGCAGCCCGATCACTGCTGATGGGAATAGAGCTAGAAAGCTGGCAATCATGGAAAATTGATGTCTAGAGTCACATCAGAACAAATAAATTTTTATTTTTAAAACGATACCATTTTCTATCCGGTACAAAAAATGTTAATTTTTTTTTTTTTTCGTTGGTTATATACAATAGCTATGAAAGACATTATTATCAGTCATTGTCAAGTAAAAAGATTTTTAACACTTTTAAAAAACCTTTTCAAAGCAGGGTAAGAAAAAGCAATATCTAAATCTGATCTTTGTGAATATTACCAGAAGCTGCTGGCTGATTTTAGAGGCCACTGACTTCGCCTCTTGGATTATACTAGGAGGAAGTGAGGTCATCTCAGCGGCTCTCAGACCTAAAAATAAGGGCACTGTGATCACTGTCATAGCAAGCTTCAACAAAACTCCTAAAATACACTGACTGGTTACCATAGTGCTTTTCCTCAGAGCACCCTCGACTCAGCAGATATGTATACACCACTTGCTCTGTGCCAGAGTCTCTGCTGCGTGTGTGCTGAACCTCCATGTGCTGGTTTTCCACGTTAGGATAGAGAGACTCCAGCTGACAGAGCTCTAAAAAGTGTGTAGCAAACAGAGTGAAGGCCTGCAAAGAAAAGAAAATAACAGGACACACCTTCAAGTTTAAAGCATTTATTAAGCGCGCGGCTTTCCTTTTGTTCTGCTGCGTCATGTTGACCAGGGAGGCATACTTTAAACAATTAGAAAGGACTTAGAAGTCTAATGAACACCAAAGGAATCTGAGTTATCTGGTTTTTAATTCTCACATAGGAGCGGCTGAGCTCAACTTTGCTGACATGTGCTTTACCTTTAGGCCAAGGAGGAACTCACAAACTGCATGACAGATTCCAATGCCTTCCTCAGCACTAGTGCCACGCCCCAGTTCATCTATGATGATCAGTGACCTGTCACTCGCATTGTGTATAATATACGAGATCTCAAAGGAATGAAACAAATAATGTTATAGGGATTAAGCACTCCTTTTAATTATTACGTGAACAATTGTGTGCCATCTTTGTGCAAAAACAACAACCTACCTCCTTCATTTCCAACATGAAGGTGGAGCAGTTGGTTTCAAAGTCATCATCAACACCAATTCTGGTGAAAATCTGATCAGCGATCCGGAACGAGGCATACTCCGCTGGGACGAAAGAGCCTCGAAGAATCAAAACACAGGATTCATGATGCTTGGTTAAGTTAAGCACGCTGCATGGTTTATAAGGCTGGGATATTAGCAGCTGACCTATTTGGGCCATGATCTGACACAGCGCCACCTGTTTGAGGTATGTGGATTTGCCGCTCATGTTGGGCCCTGTTATGATGACAAAATTGCTGCCCTCGGAGATGTAGCTATTATTCGAGACCGGCTGCTGTCGGGCCAGTCGCTCCAGAATGGGGTGACGACCTTGCTTTATGGCCAGGGTGTCTGTAAACTCTGGACGCACTGCCAGCCACAGAAGAAAAACACGTAAACGTCATTACAAGCTGCTGTTTGATTTTTCCTGCATATGACATATGTTTATGCAAATAAAATACTGTAAAAGCATCTGCAATGATCAGCACTGCTTTTAATCTAGGATGTATCAAAATGTATGGATTAGCTGCAGGAATATACACTGGCAGAAAACGGATAGATAAAAAAGCACTGGTTGCAGAGGGTTGGCGGCTGCAGTTGTCTCTGCAAATACAGCACATCAGTGAGAGCTTATGTAAGAAGGGTAATCTGAGTGCAAGCAGGCTGGGACAGAAGTGGGGGGGCAGGCAGTCAGCACGCATCAATGGAGAGACAGTTTCAGACAGCTGAGGGCCAGCAATCGCCACCCACGTGGGTGCTGGGGGTGGCGCTGCACACAAAAAGAACTGAGGCCAGCAGAGATTTAAGCCTAGTAGATCAGTTCACAGCTGTCTAATGGAGCCGCCCTCCCTGGGACAACAGATCAAACGTCATGAAGAGGACGGTATCTAGAACTTCACCAGAATGTGTGAAAAGTGGGATTTAACTACGAGCTATCACACATCTTTTCACCTGAAACTTTTTTTTTATTTCATTTTAGGCTAACACATTTGTAAAGAGGAAGGAAACAATAACAGATGGTTTAAAATTTGGTAGTTTATTTTCAAATACAAATCACTGAAGATAGACCAACCCACAGCATTATGCTGCCACTGCCAGTTTTCACATTAGACGTGTTAGTTGGCACAGATTTGAGCTTGGATAAGTTGTTTTTGTCCCACAGGACGGTGAACCTCTACCTTGCTCTAATAATGGCTTGAATAATTAATTATAATAATTGTAATAAATCTAATATTGAAATCACCTGCAACTTATTTTATAATTGATTAGTTGTTAAGTGGAGTAAACAGACATACAGATCTTAAAACATGCCATTTGCTAAAGTAACAACCATCCCAGAGCAGTAATCCCTATGTCACAACTGTATATTTATATTTATTTACATATTTTGCATTTCTGATTAAGAAAAACAACTCTTCTTTGTCAGTAAATATTCTATATTCAGCAGAGATTCCTCGAATTGCCCATTTTTGGTCAAATTGGCTCAAAAAAATTAGTCTAGGCAATATTTTCTTTCCACGTATGAATTGGTTCAGGAGGTAAGGCCTTGTCCTGTACTCGGTGGGATGCTGGTTAAAATCCCCACACTGTTTGCAGCAGCCCTTGCATCCTTCACTCTCCTTAGTGGAAAGGTTTGCCTGTCAGTCTGCCACAGTGCAGCTGTGATTACCATGTTACTAACCAGCATCAGAGTGTGAATTACTGAAGGTAGTGTGAAGCACACTGAAGTCCTTAGTCTAAACAGAAAGCTATATAAGTAAAGCTTATTTATCATTAACAGATTAATCAATTTGCAAAATAATCATTAAAAGCATTCCAAGTCTGAAAGCCTTTGTAGAAATGTCCTGTTTTAGATTCCATATATGTTTTCATCAACTCGGACCAGCGTCTCTCTCTACTAAAGAAACGTATTCTCACCACACGATGCTGCCACCACCATGCTTTACCATAAGAATCTGTTAAGGGTGAACTGAAGTGTTTTTGCCACACAGATAATTTTCCATCTCGTCCAAAATTTTAGTCTCTTCTAAATGCTGATAAGGTTTTGGGTTCTATGAGACAAACTGTTATAAAGAGGAAAGGTGCATGAAGTGTCATTGAACTGGTTCATACTGACCATAGTCTGAGATTGTGCATGCACTGGCCAGCGAGAGCAACATGTCCAACATGGAAACAGTGTCAGAGAGTTTATAAAGGCAGTGGATGTGCTCATGGATTCGGGTTAGCAGCTGGCATATCACCCTGTTAAAACACACAGGCATCATTAGTTATAAATAGCACCCTCTAGTGGACATTAACTGATTAAAGTTATTTTCTGCAAAACATTCCAAAGTTGAGACTCGTTATTGTTTGAGTGACTAAGAAAAATACTGTGTAGCGTTATTAGAACTTGAACACAATATGAGTTCATAGAAATATTTCAAAGCTCTGAAACGTCATAATAATCTTGGATAAATATGCATTAAATTAAATAAATACATGAGATTAAGTTATCTAAATGTGATTTCTTTTGGAAAGAAAATACGAGCAGGAATAAATGTTTACTTATCAGTCAGTGCTGCAACATTTGCAAAAACATTTTCAAAAATGAATAGATAACAATTTTCTTACACATAAGACATGTGAAATATTTCCCTCAGAGCCTCATCGCAGCGTCCATTCATCTTTATTAGGTTTGCAGTAGTGAAGCTGTAGTTGTTCCTGTACTTGCTGACCTGAAATAAAAGGTCTTCTGTTGGCATGGAGTCAGCTTTAGTGACTAATAATGTTAAGTTAGCTACCTCTACTTTCAATTGAGTCTGTTTTGTGTAAAGACATTTAAAGGTATAGTGGAGGATTTTTGACTTAAAAAAAAAAATGTACATGCACAACCCTGTACCTGTTCTCAAGACGGAACGCCTATTAAGGATGTGCAAGAGCATGCACAAGTCCATTTCTCCTCGTGCACGCTCTGTTTAAAAGGTGCTGTTTGCATCGCTCATACAAGCTTACTTTCCAAAATATTTTTCCACTATGTCAGACTCACCATCGGTAAGTGAAAATGTGGACGAGCAGGACGGCCTTAAGTAAACATATCACCAGAATGATTGACAGTTAGGAGGACCACTTATTTAGATGATCCACCCATAAAAAGAACATCCTCCACTATACCTTTAAGTCTTTAGAGGATCCTACCTTGATGAACTCTTGGGGGAGGATGCCCTCAGGTAAGACCACTCCATCCAGCTTCATCTGGATAAAGAACCCTCGAGACGTGCTAAAACTGGTGCGCAATGGTAAGCCGTATTTCTCCCCTAACTGGTTCACAAGTCCTGTACACAGGAATGAGACAGACACAGAGCCACCAGCTACAGATATAGCATTAAAACTATTCAAAAAGAGAGTTGCACTGGGACATCTGTCATGACCACCTGCAATGTCGTCTACAATCTCAGTGTAAACTCTGCGTGCAATGTCAAGGAACTCATTGATGTTGGGCCGCACAGCGTAACACTTCTGGGTCCGCATGTTCAGGCTGCCTTTTAAATACGTGGTGTCATCATTTACCACCGTCTTGATCTGTTCAAGGATCAACTTGAATCTGAGGGATACAGAAAGCATGCCCTGGTTCAAGAAAGTAAAGAATAGATAATATAATGTATGGCTCTAGCCAAATCTATTGGCACCGCGGTAAAGATGAGAAATAAGCTGGAAAAACAAAGATCTTTCAATGCAAAATCACTGTCTCACACCACATAAGTGGAATATATGGTCTTTAATTCGAGTACATTTATTCAGTGCAGATAAAATAGAATTTTAAGACATTTTCTTGCTTTTTGTTTTTTTATTAAACTTTAACAACACATTTTTAATGTTTTTAATAATATCAAACCTTTTATGAACATCTACTGGGAAATCAAAGACTTTTTATTTTTCTTGGGGAACAGATATCATGTGACATTGGTCTATTTCTCTTAGCCAGAGGTCATTAGTCTGGATGAAGACCCGTATTTATCTTGTGCATAAAAGATCGTCATGGCAGCAAATCATCTCCAAAGTCTTTTTTCTGGAAAGTACTTTGAAAATTAATGTCTTGAGGGTCACAAAGTGTTCAAAGAAACCACTATCTACATAGCAGCTGGTTGTATCAAAGGTATCTAGCAACTCAACAACAACTGATGCAAAAACAATTTCTCAACCATCACAAATTTGAAGACTCTACTACTGGAACTATAAATAAAAATTCTATTTACTTTAGACAGATGAAACTGAAATTTAGGTTTTTCTGCAACAAAAGCTGCAGCTCTGCTTAATGTTCCACAAAGGATGAATGTTTGGAAAATCACTTCATGTCCACTGCTATGTACTGTATGGTGGAGGATATGTGATGCTATGGGCTCTTTCTATGAAAAAAAGATCATTATCAGTTTTTCTTTAATCTTTCTTAAATTCTTCAGTTATGGTTATCGCTATGGCAATTGGGTCCTATTCTGCTGCAGAAAAAAACTTAAATATAGGCAGATGGTAGGCAAAAAAACCACAAAATACAAACAAAAGCATATTTACGGAAGAGGATTAGGGCCACTGAAAAGAAAAAAAAAAAGTAAACTGATTTTTAAATTTTATTTCAGTTTAACATGGGAAAAAAGTCAGAATTCTGACTTTAATCTCAGAATTCTGACTTTTTTCTCAGAATTCTGACTTTAATCTCAGAATTCTGACTTTTTTTCTCAGAATTCTGACTTTAATCTCAGATTCTGACTTTTTTCTCAGAATTCTGACTTTAATCTCAGGTTCTGACTTTTTTTCTCAGAAT